TTCCTTCAAACCCTCCGCATGATATCGTATTTTATAATCCTATTGGTTCGACTCAACAATTATTGTTCTTTCACGCATAATAATTTCACAATTAAAAACTAAAGCTTTGAAATATATGTATATATATATATATATATTTTATTTTTTTTAACTTGGAGGAATTCACAACTTATCTTTGACTGTTAGGTGTTTATTTATTATTATTTGTTTGTCTTTATTTGCATGGAAGCGTGAAGGAGATTTGGGAAAATATTAGTATATTTGCATATGTTTATTCTGATAAATCTAGGGAATGAACAATGATTGAAGAAGGGTTCCCACCATCTTGACTTTTTCTACCTCCAGGCATTGGATTAGGTAAAGTTTGAATAATTGTGTTACTTTTATTGATTGAAGTGCCTTTTTGGTCATGCATATCATGAGTAAAGTTTTGCCAAGTTTTTGGTTTTTACATTACTTACTGTTTTGAAGAATTCTTCAGGATTCAGCTGCACTGCCATGAATATTTTAATTCATGGTTAGGACTATAACACACACACACACATAAATATATATGTTTTTGGGGTTTTTGAGGTAGAGTTGTGTTGTAGCTAGCTGGTGAGCATATGTTGTAATTTCATGTCAAGATTCATGATCAAAATGCTTAGAATTTAACATTGGTCATTAAGCATTAATTACATTGGACATTTTTTCTGTTATTTCTTATCCAAAAAAGTGACTTTTTGAACATTCCTTTCAAATACGTATTGATTATCACTCTCAATTACAAAAAGATGAAGACATTCTTGATCATTAGCAAAAATCAAAGTAATATCATCAGCACATAAAAAGCCAGAAAGTGCTTTTGAAATTTCTGGGTTTGATTTCAATTTAAACACTTTATTATGAGAATGAGAAATGGCACAAGGTTGTCACCCACCATGAGAGAGATTTACCTAGCTAGAGAATGATATGGGAAATGAACTTGATTTTTGCCAACCCCCCCGCCCCACTTTTTTCAACATGAAAAAAGCAATGAATTTGACCAGTGAAAATGCATCTTTATATATATATATATATATATATATATATATATATATTACCGCCACATTAATTAAACACATGTTTTCATACATGTACACGTCTAATCGTTTTTATGTATAGAAAATTTTGTGCAGCACTTTCTTATTTGAAGTTTGAAAAGTAAATACTTAATTGAAAATCAAAACCAATGTACTGATGACTGTGGTTTGCATGACTAACATGCATATTTGATCATTTTAAAATATTTTTAGTCTAATAATTATTGATTGCATGACTTAAGTAATAAGATCGGTGATCAAATTGTAACTTTTTGTATTACACTAACGACAAAATTTTTTTTGAAAAAGTTATAGTAATCACTGAAATTAAAAATTCGTATATTATATTAGAGATAATGTAATTACGTAGATCCATATTTCTATAAATCGAATTACATACATAAAATAGTGCATCGATTATTCGAGCAAATCAAGAAAAAAATATAATAAGGTATTTGTACATTCCCAAATTGAGTAGGGAAAATATGATGATTGAAGAAAATAGGACCCATCTCCTTTGACTTTTCATCCTTGAAGACTGGAATTGTTTTAATTAATTAATATAAATAATTAATACAAGTAAAGATTGTTTGGTGTGTGTTGAATTTGATTTGTTTTCTAACCTCTTTTCATGCACGTAACCAGCCGTAAAAACCAAACAACCTGATTAATTATAAGTTTGGTTCTAGAAAATATCCACAAAAATCAAAGTGTTAGGTTATGTTTTCATTTTTGAAGGTTCCACATTGTTTCTCCAAAGCTAAAACTTCCAATCAATGCAAATTGAAATTCTCTTTATTATATATAAAATTCCTTACCATATGCGTGTTCCATACTTCCAAAATGCACATGTTCATGAATTGAATCAGATTCGATTGACTATTAAAATCTTTTATCCAAGATTTTTATTATTGTTAAAAAATATTAAATTTATATAAAAATTATTTATCAAATAGTGATTAAATCGAATCGAATTTAAATTTTAAAAATTATATTTAAAATTTTCATTCGATCTTGAACAGGTATATTATAAAATCATTAACTTTATTTTATCTAAAAAGCATATTCATGGAATTTGACTTCTCTCTAATCCAACCTTGATGTTTATATTCTAACATTCCCTCCACAATTTTGTCTATTGTCACTTTTTAGCTAGCTGTTCTATTTTTTTTCCCTTTGGCATTGTCTAGAGATTACTTTTTGCTTCTTATTCAAAGATGTAACCCATTTTTCACGCTTGGGGGTGAACAATTTTCTGGATCACCCAATATTCACCTAACCATTAATGATTTTCCATGGACTTTACACAAATTTTAATGCATCATATATCATTTTCAAGCAATGCATCAGTCACCCTATAGGCTATTGTAGGATTCAATCTCTATATTTATGCCAATTCAACTTGAGTTTTTAAACTCAAAATTAACTTTAATTTAGTAGGAAAAAAAGATATGTTGACAAGTTTCAAATTGAATTTTAAGTAGAGAATATATATATTTATATAAATAATGAATGTATCAAATGCATAATTATGGTGGGCTGATGTTGGCATTTTTTCCTCAAAAGGAAAAGCATTTTGGAAAAAGGAGGATTAGGAAAGGTGGGCGATTAGGTAATAATGAGGCAATTTTAAAATAATATAAAGTTTGTTGATTTTTGTATTATATGCTAATAGTTACATAAACTATTAGTAAAAGATTAAAATTTTAATTTTAATAATTAAAATTTAAAATTTGATAAAATAAAAATGAATGTTGGGTGCATTAATACTCAGGTTCGAATCTTCCACCATCTCTTGTTGATAAAAAATCTTTAAGTTTGAAAAATTTATAGATAAAAGTTTAATGAATCCGTAAATGTTAATTAAGTGGACGGTTTATTTTAACTTTAAAAATAAGATAATTTTTTATAATCTTAAATTTTTTTGGCATAAAAATAAAATTAAAAAATTTATATTACGGCTTGAATAATAATATAATCATTATGGAGTTTATTCTCAAGGGTATACAAAGCTAACTTTAGAAAAAACCAATATCTTTGTCGTCAAAAAAGTCGTGAGAAGTGACTTTACCAAATCTTCTTCACCCATTGCCATTTTTAAGCAAAGAATTAGGATGAAAATCAGACCAAAAGCGAACAAGGGAAAACAAATCACGTGTGGTGTGTCATTGAATACCATATACTTTGTGTGATATTATTTTCAATTTTCAACATTTTTCGAATACCAAAAAATATATATATAATAATAATAAGGTTGAATTTGAAGAAATCAGAAACTTTCACATTTGTCCTTTAGTTTTAGGATCGCCTCGTTGGAAGTCCGGAAATAAAAAATTGTTCTAATAAATAGTAATAATAATAAGAAGAATTAACAGTAAAATTGTAGCCATTCGACTGTTTGTCTGCCGACCTATCATGCAATAATGAAAGACATCAGTATTGGTTCCAAATTGAACAGTGGGCTAGATTGTAGGCATTCTATGAATGCGTGGCTTTTTCCTGCAACTTGCTTCTTAAATTATTCATTCCTTGAAAGAAAAGGGAGAATAAAAATGTGTTGAATTGATCGAAGTTCTAGCATTGTATTTAATTTAATTGACACGTTGTGCACTTTTCTTCCAAGGGGTACATCAAAGAGATGACACTTTTAAATTCTACAATTGTTTTCAATTGATTTACTCAATTATTTTTAAAAAATAATATTTAAAATTTAAATTCAAACATCTATAATATTTTTTCATATTATTAAATTGTAACATTTTTTGTATAAAAAATAAAAGAGAGACATCAAACGTTGGAATTTCAACCCCATCTTGGAAAATTTGAGATGGAACAAGTTGAGGTTTATAAGATTAAAAAATTACTTAACTTAAAATCTTTAAAGTACAAATGTAAGACATATATTTTTTTATATTTAAAATTATCAAAATTTAAATACTAATTACTAAAATTAAAAGTTTAACATTCTATATTAACATCGGGAAAAATGGTAATCATGGAGAGCAAGATGGTTAAATGCTAAAACTAGTCAAAATAGTCCTAGAAAACGCCCAGCCTTCATTGTTAGAAAACAATTGCCCAGTTTCCTCAAAGGGCCTCCAATCCACAAGCTACTAGCTAGTCATGAACGACCTAAAAAAATGATAATGAATTGGTGAAACGACAAATGCCCAATGTAGTTAAAGCTCCAAAGCCCAAAACCAGAAACAGTTTTGAAAATAAAACAAGAAACCAGACAAGGAACAGGGACGACCAAAAAGAAAACAGTTGGCTACGTATCTGCTGGGTATCAGACTTTACCGACCCTCAAGACCCTAGCCTGTAGATAGAAGCGTCGAATTATTAACCAAATACTTGATTAGGTGATTTTAACTTCATTATCATTTCTTTGTCCATAACTCCAAAGTTCAGAGATGTCTAGTCGATCATAAGTCTCTTAACAAGATTAGACAAATTCGGGTTACCTTCCAGCATTCAAATGGCCTCAGCCCTCGTTAACAAACATTTCATTATCCTCTTATAGATTCCCTCTTACTTGGTCTAATGGTTGAGTCATAAACTTCCAGATTAAAGCCCCTTTGCCCCTATTGATCTTTACCTTTAACAGGCACCTCAACTTCGCAGACCTTGTTCATTTTCTGCAATACAGAGCAGAACATATAAATTTGATGAACATGGTGACTGGGACCTAAACTGACCATGGTTATCGGCAAGTTCCTAAATATAAAAACGACTTGAAATACATTATCTCATATTTCTCATTTAAAACATGTAAGGTTCGTTATGCAGTTGCATTGAATATCTGTTGTAATTAACTTCAATTTGAGGCATATTTACCAAGTTGGTCAGTTGAGACCATCTTTACAAAATATGTGAAAAAAATCAAGTCAACTTTGATGAGCACCTTTATTCCTAAACAAGGTTGAAGAGCTGATGAAAGAACAGAAACGAAATAGCATCCTTTACATTAATCCAGGACAAATAGTTTCAAATTTCCCTCAACGGTGACAAACATCAAACATCCGCCAAAGCAGTTTAAACCTTCCTGCCACATTTAAAACCAGGTATCATAAGCAGAACTCATGGAGAATGATATAGAAAACCATGAAATCAAAGAGCAATATGAAAACTAAAACCAAAAACCATATTAATCCAAAATCAAAAGATAATATCAGTGGAATGCATAATTAGCAACTAAATCTCAAGAAGATTAAGCCAACAAAATTCATCTAGACAGGATATAACACAATTGCAGTGCTTCCTTTGTCTCTTTATTCTTCTATATGAAACAACTATAGTGTCTTTTTCTTCGTAAAATCTTTTAGAAAAATGATTCTCAAATTTGGATAATCCATCTTGTTGTCTATGTATATGCATTGCACACTAGAGTTTGCTTAGAGAATCTTTATTCTAATGGATATTAATGATGGTAACAATGGTGAGTATGGTATGACTGCGGGGAATTGTATGTATGAACCACTAAAATAGCATGGCCAACACATCACACGCTTGTTCTCACCAAACCCAACATACCACAATACTAAAATGTCTTCCATATTTTTCTCTTAACATAGCATTCACATTGTGGCTTTAATGAAACCGCAAAGCCAACTAATAGACCGCAGCAGCTTCTCTGCTTAGAAAATAAGGGACTGATGCAGCCTTTCAAGAGCATGAAGCTATAATCAAAACTTACACGACAGTCCCTTAGCATGGATGGAATACTTGGTATTTGATACAACTGTTCTAGCCATCATTAGCAATGGACTGGAAATTGGAGAATCTGATGTTAAAAATGTGGGTAAGAAAGGAATTTCAACTTAATTACTGAGGCGCACTTGTGTATCCCTTGTAGCACATGAGGATCAAATTCCATAGTTCTCTAGCCGCCAAGCAATGATAGAACTACTGATGGCAAGCCCAACACCATTCTTTTTTACATGTACGGAAATTGATTAAAACTAATATTTCAACAAAAAGTATTTAAAACACTGTGTTTATAATAAAAAGGAAGGGTTAAATATGAAAAGTGTCTAGAACTCCTTTTTCACTTGAATCAATCACTAAAAATGCTCAATGCTCAAAAACACCAGAAGGCAAAAGAAAATAAAGGAAAACTCTTTACGACTTAATGACCATTCCTTAAAAGATGCATGTGTATGTATGGATCCTAAAATAATCATCTGTCAAATCGTAATCAAACCATTATCAGATTCAGAGTAACCTGAGTAACTCTCAAAATCAACTAGGTACAGATTTCAGTGCCTCAGAATCCTCGATTTCTTCATTTTACCTTAACCCCCTACTGCACCCGATTGTGAAACCTTATTATTCCAATAGCTTCCCATCTATTCTATTTTCAAAACCTTAAGCAACCACTATAAAGTATTACCAGTTTCCATATGACACATCACCTCCTACTAAACCTTGTGCTTCATTTGTTATACCTTTCAGCAAGGTGTTTTATTTAGGAATTAACACGACTAAAAATGGTAGATCTAACACATTTGACTCTTTTTAATGCTTGTACCTATGAGTACTATAATGAGGAATGCGAAAAACAAAATAGATGAGTTTCACAAGTGTCCAGTTATTAAGCTCCTAAAAGATCATATTTTGTTCCTTCCATTAAGTTTAAGATGTTTTTGATCTTTGAGAATTTTAAAAGATCATATTTTGCTCCTTCCATTAAGATTATTTTACTAATCAATTATTTTCTATAAAGATTCTTGTCAAGAAAAGGTTTCATCCTCTAAACATCGAAATTAAAGTACTTTAAAATGTTGACCAAGCATTTCCATCAGCTTAGAGGTTCAAGTCAGCACAATGTACTACAAATGATACCTAGTCCAAGCTCTTTACCATGTTTTTTTCCAGCTCAAAACACAAGGCTGCAACTTCATCAGGAACTTGAATTTAAAACAGCAACATCATTGAATTCACCAGATCAGGCCTCCTGATATCTCACTTAAATTTTGAATTATACCAATACCACTTGAGGGAAAAAACCAAGAACAATCAAACTAGATGATAAAACAGAACTCAATTTAAGTAACTTGGGTGTTCTACTTTTATAAATCTGCATGTATAACCACAATCAACATAGTTCCATTGGCTAAACCTACTAATTCATTGACATAAAAGAAAAGTACCTAAATATAAAAGCCAACTATTTTTGCATTCAAAACTACTTTCACTGGTCAAGATAACCCAAAAAAGTCCTTAAGGTAACTGAAAAAAGCACCACGTATATGTCCAATTGTTTGCAAAACATAATATGCAATCTCATTAATCAAGATTCAAAAAACACTTGCGAACATTAGCCATCAAAGGACTATTAATAGGCTTAATCAAACCCATTTTTTGAGGATGTACATCAGCGTGAAGTCCACAATGTGTGTTGTTCTCAATCTCGCTACAAGAACCCCCATGTTGTGGATAACACCAGAATATTCTAAACCGTTAAGCAACAACAACCTAATACCATTTCCAAAATCTTCTAAATGAAATGCTAAATCGAGCACATTTCTATGGACTAATGGAACCTGAAGCAAAAACCTAGCAATAGGGGTACATTCCAGTTTCCCCTTTGTTCCAAATCAAATACCACAGGAACCAAACAAAATAAACCCCAAAATTACTGCACCCTGCTGTTAACAGACCAAAGAAAAATAAGTCCCTTATTCGAAGACAGGAAACCAGCAAAAGCCTTAAAAGTATTGACAATGGACTGCCAGATTTTCAAGAAATGCATTAATTTCACATACAACAAGAAAAAAGAAAACGGTAATCGCTTCAATTCGATACTAACACCAAACAGGAAATTTCTGTTGAACATTTAGCAGCAAACACTTTATTAAAACAAAGCCCTAAAAACAGTTAAGAAGATAAAAAAATCCCCGATCATTCAATAGCCATCAGGTCAATTGAAAAACCCAACAAACAAAACTTAAACTAGCTAAAAACCGATAAATTTTCTAACTTTAAAACACTTAATCTAAAATCAAAGAACCCACCAACAGATAATGCAGAAAAACATCAATCGAAAAAAATCCATTGACTAAAATCATCCAAACCCCCCCCCCCCCAAAAAAAAAAAGAAGAAGAAATGAAAATTTGACTGACCATGGAGGTAGCTTAAGCATTAGCAGTTTTGGGAATGAGAGGAATAGAGCCGCCTTGTTTCCCAGCCTGTTTCAGCTTGGCCTCTTCCTCACGAATCTTCTGCATCTGCAGCATCCGCTCCATGACGAGCTCGTACTCGCACTTCTCGTAGGAGTGGCGTTCGATCTCGCATTTCCAAGGTAAGTAAAACTCCGCTTGGCGACACTTGTTGAGTGGGATGAGAAGGTGGGCGCATTGGTCTCGGTATGGGATGGGGACCTTGTTCTCCACCATCTCTTCCTGGGTTGCTATCATCTTCTTCGATGAACCCTCCACTTCCATTTTTTCTCTCTTTGCTTTGATTGGAGCAAAAATGTTGGTTAGGAACGAAAATGCTTTCTCGGGGCTTTTTTTTCTGGCTTTTTCGGACTCTCCGGGCTTGGTCGAATGACTTCGGCTCTCGTGTTCTAATTCTTTTACATTTGCAATGGTTTTTTCGAGTATTCTTATATCTGACTCGAGTAGCTCGCGAGCCTAATCGAGCTTTTATATTTAAATATATTTTATTTTTTTTAATTAATAAAATATTTCGAATCCGAGTTCGAGTTCGAGTTCGAGCATGAATAATCGAACTCTTGTCGAGTATACGAATCGAGCTTATTTTTACATATTAATCGAGCTTAATCGAGCGAGCTCGAGTAGCTCGAATTCGATCACGAATCGAGCTCGAGCTTGAAAAATAAAACTCGATCGAGCTCGAGCCGAGTATCGAGCCCGGAGTTGTGAGTCGAGCTCGAGCTCGAGCTTCTCACTACTCGGCTCGGCTCGGCTCGTTTACAGCCCTAGGTGTTACTATGAATGGTGCGCGGTAAAGCAGTAATTTTAGATGCGCTAACTTTCTATCGTTGCCATTTAGGATAAATTAACCACTCATTTGTTTTTAACCAAGGCTCCGCTTGTTTGGGGAAAAATAATTTTTGTATTTTTAGATATTTATCTGATAAAAAATTAATTAGTTAAAAAAATGATTTATTAATTAATGAAAAATAATATTATTTATTTAAAAATTGTTTTAGAATATGAAAAAAAAAAGATATTTTTCGAAAAAAATGTTTATGAGTAAAATTATTGATCAATGATTTTGAGCATAATTTTACTTATTAATAAATAATATTATAATCTATTAATAAATATTATTATATTAATTAATAAATATTATTAATAAATATATTTTAATATATTACTAAATAATATGAAGAATAATAAATAGTTTTATTTTAAGTATTTTTTATATTACCATAATTTTTAATATTAAATAATATTATTAAAATATAATTATTTTTTAATATTAATAATTTTAATAATAAATAATTTCAATATACTTTAATAATAAATATTTTTTAATATTTTAATAATTATATTAATATTATTTTAAAAAATTTTAAAAAACAACCAAATAATGAAAAATATTTTTCATTAATTCATTCAAACAACATAAAATTTTTTTCAATTAAAAAATATAAATATTTCAAAAATTATTTTTCGAAAATGATTTTCCACAAAACAAATAAAGTTTAAATTTAAAAAACACTCTCTAAAAAAAAATATGTCTTAGCTCTTGCTAATTAAAAAAAATGTTTACAATCTTGGAGCATTTGATTAAGTGATTAATGTATTTTTTCATATTTAGATAGCAAAATTCGAATCCTTTTTCTTCATTATCCCTTCAATTAGAGATTGAATTAAAAAAATCCATTAAACCACTAAACCTTAAGGCAATTAATTGTTAGTTTGAGATAGTTAATTGTCCTATTTAATGTAAAATTAAAATATAAGTAGGGTAATAAATTGTTTTAGTATAAAATTAAAATATAAAATATTTTTAATTATGACAATCAATTGTCATATTTAATCTTATTGTTACAACTACATTTACAACCAAATAAATATTATCATTATTAATTTTAATTTCATCATTTTAAACTTAATTTTATCGTTATAATATTTAATCTAATCTCTCAATTTAAAAAATCTGATCTTTAAAAATTCAAAAGTAAATAAATTGTTCAGTTTCACAGATAAATTGCTCCAACTCTAAGATAGAGTTTAGATGTTGGGATAGGTCTCTCCGTTACCATACTTCATTCCATACTTGCTCAAATTACAATACCTTGTTCTACACCATATTAAGGGAGAAGGTAGTTGGTTGTTAAAAGCTAGGTTACAATGACAAAATGAAATGCACATTTACACATGTATTAAATGAAGATTCAATCAACAAGCATTACCAGCTTCTACTTTGGAAGTAGTTGTTGAGAATGTAAAGAGTGCCTAAGGTTAAAAAACAAACAGCCTTTCAAAGAGCCCGTTTAAGTTAGCATTAACAAAAGTTCATGAGATTTGAGTTGTTCCTATATATAACATGTTTGGTTACAACCAAGTTTGTGTGTATGTAATGGACCAAGGTGTTGATAAGCATGATGTTGTGCAGAATTCATCTGCAAAGAGGTTGGTCCCAACGGGTCTTTTTTTTTTTTTTTTTTAGTTTAACTCAGAAAATTTGAACAAATTTAAGCCAAATTGACATTTACTGCATCATTATTCTATTCCAAATTAAGTAAATCCGGAATGAATTCTTTGATTCGCAGGATGATTGGCAAAGTTGCAGTCATAACTGGTGGTGCAAGAGGAATTGGAGCTGCCACAGCAAAATTATTTGCTGAAAATGGAGCTTATGTTGTCATTGCTGACATATTGGATGAACTAGGGGCCATGCTTGCTGACTCCATTGGAGGTCGCTACATTCATTGCGATGTAGCCAAGGAAGATGATGTGGAATCAGCTATCCAACTTGCCCTAACATGGAAAGGGAAACTAGACATACTGTTCAGCAATGCTGGCTTTGGCGGTCCTTCAGGCAGCATAACCAGCCTTGACATGGAGCAAGTGAAACATCTGATCTCAGTCAATCTGCTTGGGAATGTGCACGGAATCAAGCATGCATCGCGAGCAATGTTGAAATGCCGTACAAAAGGTTCCATCATATGCACGTCAAGCTCTGCGGCCGTCATGGGAGGGCTAGCATCTCACCCTTACTCCTTGTCAAAAGCCGGTATCATTGGATTGATGAGAACTGCTGCGTGTGAGTTAGGCTTGCATGGAATTCGTGTGAATTGCGTTTCTCCTCATGGTGTCCCAACAGATATGCTTGTTAGTGGTTATAGAATTTTCCGGGGGAATGAAACAACGCCTGAGCAAGTGAGTAAACTTGTTGGTGAAGAGGGCAGCTTATTACGTGGGAGAGCTGCAACTGTAGAAGATGTAGCGCAAGCTGTACTGTTCCTTGCCTCTGATGATGCTGGATTCATAACAGCACATAATCTTGTTCTTGACGGGGGATATACTTCTGCTTGCAACACACTGAGTTTCATCTACCAATAGCAGAGAATTGGGAAAGGGAAAAATGCAGCACACAGGTTGCAACTTATGTCATACTTCAACTCTTAAAACTATCTAGTAAACAAGCAAGAATGCCCACACCAGTAATCAAACCATAATAGTTGTACTACATCTATATTAACTTTGAGAATCGACACAGAAAAGAAAAGCAAGATTTATTACTTTAAGAAGTCTTTTCATCCTATAATACAAACAGTTTGTTCCAATATGGAAGGATGGCTTCTAATTGAAAAGCAAGCAGTACTCGTGTACAATACGTGGGAATCTGCCCAGAGTACGAAGTAAGATTAATGCTTTCAGACGCAATTCATTTAATCCAATAAGATACAAACAGTTGCTTTTGAGGCGGAAATATTGAAATGTATGCAGTTTCCATGTACAATAACATTTCAGCTGAATTTCTCTCCATAAGAGAAGGAACCTTAAGTGGACTTCTTCTGCTTGTACTTCATAGCGCAGACAGTGTACACTAACATGTTTAAGAAGCTGAGACCAGCCAAGAGCCAGAAGAAATAGTCGAGATGACCCTTATTCAGGTTATCTGGTATCCAACCAGTCTGCCCACCCTTTGTTGTGAAGTAAGTTACAAGAGTCAGAATAAAAGAACTCAGGTAATTCCCCAAAGATGTAGTTAGAAGTGAAAGTGCACTACATAAACTTCGCATGGCATCAGGAGACTGATCATAGAAGAACTCAAGCTGTCCAATAAATGTGCAGACCTCTGCAGCACCCAACAAGAAATATTGAGGTATTTGCCACAAAATGCTAAGTGGTACAGCAACCGATTTATCAACCAACCCTAGCTCTTTTGCAAGCTGCAGTCTCCTGATCTCCACCACAGCAGCAGCTGACATGCATAGGACAGAAATAAAGAGACCAATTCCCATACGCTGCAACTCTGAGAAGCCCCTCTCCTTGCCTGTGAACTTCCTTGCAATTGGGACAATGATCCTATCATAGATGGGAACCCAAAAAATGACACTGATAACATCAAAAGTTGAGAGAGAAGCAGGAGGAATAGTGAAAGAACCAATTGAAGTGTCCATCATCATCCCTTGTTCCACAAACATAGTTGACATTTGGGCATATACAGCAGAGAAGACAATTCCAGTAGCCCATATGGGAAACATGCGGATCAAGATTTTCAATTCCTCCACTTGTGTTACAGTGCAAAGCCTCCATGGGTTTGAGAAGTCCCCACTTTTGATCTCAGCATCAGTGACTATGGCAGCTTTATCTAGGCACCTGCAACAAGATGGACTTAGCAAAACTAGCAATGAAAGAAACTATATAGCTGTTAGGACTTTATGTCTGTTGAAAAAAAGAAACAGGGATTTCAAGACATATTTTGTTTGAAACTTCAATGAACCTAAATAAGTAACCAACACGTCCACAGATTAAAGTCGCTTAAATCAGTTATAATTTCCAAAATATATCAGATGAAACTTTCACTGTAATAAGTGTATCAGCAAGTCAAGAATAACTTCTAGAAGATAATCAGAACATGCACTACAGTGGATTTATTTTGTTAAAAAATGTGGGGCTACAAGAAAAGAAAATTAGAACTAGAATTAAGAAAAAGGAATCAATGCATCAAGCAGCAGCCGAGCTAAATATTATCCATCATAATTCCACTAGTTCTCCTCACCTTTCCCTGGATAAATATGCATGGGTAAAACCATCCTTTTATACCATGTTTTTTATATAGTGAGTTTGTTCCTTAACAATTCAAGTTATCAATTATCACAATATGTATAATATAAGCTGAACATGCAGAATTTAACATATGAGAAAGCTCCTCTGTAGCAGAGGCTTCCAATATCATGCGGCACGAAATGGTAAAAGTGAAAGGAAAAGATAGAGAAGAAACACGAGATTATTAAGGATATTAACTCCCATGGACATTGAAGACTACACAAGGTGTTTGGAAGAGTGATCAAATTGATATCAGGATATTTCTGCAGAGATATTCAATCAGTGTTTCAATACCTAAATTGGTTACTTATCATCCATTAAGGATTCCCTTATTACATTAGTTTTGTCTAAACAGATAGAAAATAAATCAATCTCAATAATTTCATTGGATTTCAAAAAAAAAATAATAATGAATTTTTTCTTCGGTAAAACATGAGGAGAAATTGATATGAATCATTCAGATCTTAGAAAATTCATTCAGGAAATGTAGAAGAGATTTACTTCAACTCATCACTGTGCTCCAGTTTCCGACTTCCTTCAATGGCAGAGCATTTGTCACCTGTTTCATACAGGAGACTACTGTCTTCGGGTACCTTCAGATTCCATTTATGAAATGATGCAACCAAAACCTGGCACATTCTTGTAATAGGGCTACCTCCAGGTCTTTGAAATCTATAGAGAGGTGTGCCTAAGAAAAAACTAGCAATAGCAAGGCCCATAAACAATGCTGGAATGCCAAATCCAAGACCCCATCCGGCATTGTCCTGAATCCACACCAGAAGACTGCTTGATATCAGAGCGCCAATGTTGATAGAAAAATAGAACCAGTTGAAAAAGGACCCCTTCTTCACCCTTTCTTTGGGATCAGTATCATCAAACTGATCTGCCCCAAATGATGAGACACACGGTTTGATTCCACCAGTCCCTAATGCAATCAGATACAGACCGAAGAAAAATACTGCATACTGAGCTGGAGTAGCTGAGGGACATATAGAACCCACACATTCAGCAGGTTTCAGTGCAGGAATTGATGCTGAGAGGGTCAATGTACACATTCCCTATATTAAATACTAACTGTGTTATTCAATGCATCCCAAAACAAATAACTCAATATAAGAAACAGAATTCATTAGTCAAGAGTATGATCATGATCGCAAATTGATGTTCTCATGTAGCCAAAAAGCAAATGCTCTACCACGTGCAGTGATGGAAGAGACAAAAAAAAAACAAGTTATGAATTCCTTCAAATATGTTACAATACTCTGAAATTTTCTGTAAAAATGGTAATTAAATCTTTGAAAAGAAGCCAAAAAGTTTTCTCCATGAATTAAACACCGAAGATACTCACCAGGAAACTACTAGCAATAAAATAGGAGAATTATGAATTTGAATTGCATGTGATGAAAGCTCAAGGAAAAAACTAGGGTTAACAGTGTAATGTAAGTTGTGAAATACACAATGTCAAAGGAACAGTGACCAACAGCTCTATTGCAGCTGGCTCAACTTCATAATAATTACTTGAACATAATAAAGCAACAATTACACTATCACATCATATAGATTAATCTAGATATATAACTAATTGCATAAAATTAATAAGCATCAAAAGCAGAAAAGTTAGTGATTTGATTAAATTATATTACAAAGAAGTAAATGGTGGAGAAAGCGGCGATTGTCCAATATCTTCCCCAATAAGCATCTGCTAAGATAGCTCCAATGAGAGGTGTAAGGTAACAAGTTCCTTGCCAAGTGGTCACATTTCTTGCAGCTGATACATTTCCTTCGTGCAGTTTCTTGGTCAGGTAAGTCACAAGATTAGTTGCTATCCCATAATAAGCCAATCGTTCACAGCATTCATTACCTATAATTCCATATTAGAAATTGTCAGAAACAACATAAGCTTACTCAAATAAAACCCATTTAAAAGAAAAAAAAATTTAAAGATAAGAAAAGATAAATTTATAATTCACCCAAAATGAAAGGGCATGCTTTCCAGTTTCCAGTATTCTGCTTCAAAACAGGATTTCCATGATAATCAACAGAGCCATCCCCGGTGTAAGGTCCACTGCTTTCATCCTGGTAATACAAGATATTAAAACATTAATACCAACATAAATTCCAAGACAAATATTTTAACAGGAAACGAAAACAAACCCAGAATTTTGTTCAATGTTAAGGTGTATGTGACCAAATTATCAAAAGTCTAAAACAACCAAAAATTAAAGATCAAGGGAAGACAGAGAAGCCTGAAAAACAGGAGAAAAAGATAAGAGTAAAAACCTGAACAAGTCCAGCTTCCAAAAGCGATCTTTCTTCGTCGGCAGATCCCATGATTGTTTTGTCACTGAATCAATCAAAGTCTAAAGATTCAAAACACCCAAAACAGATAGGATACCAGACAAGATGTACCTATGGAAAAATAGATGAATTGGGTAAAGAAATCTTGATGGCTGATGTAAAACATTGTGGGTTCCACGCTTAAAATGCGTACAAGGATTTACCTTCTAAGATCGGTAACGTCGGTCAAACACTTTTTGGTTTTCTTTGATTCGAGAAACCAGAGGAAAGTTAGGTTGGGCCCATACCAGAAATATCACTGCTAGATCCAAGGGCCTTTAACCCAATCTCAACAATCTCTTCGTCTTGGGTTGAGATGTTCAAGCCCTGAGCCCTACTTTTATGACGAGCCACCTCTATTCTAAATTTCCAATGAAGGAATAAAAAAAAAAAAAACCCAGCTAACAACTATTGGATATGTATCCCACTACCACCTCCTAAACATAAAGTACAATATGTTTTATATAATTTTAAAATTATTTTAAAGTTTATTTAATTTCACAAATAAATTTATACGATTTTAACGTGTCTAATTAATAATTGAATAATTAATTTTTAAATTTTTTTGGTACATTAATATTTTAAATTCTTTAAATAAACATAAGTTATCTTTTAAATTTATTATCGATGTACGGAATTGTTCCATATAAACCTATTATTATCATCAAATAAAATTAAATATCTTTAAACTCTAAATTTAATACAATTAATTTATATAATTATTGATATTTAATAATTTTGAAATTCAAATTTTAATACATATAATTATTTTTCTCTATTATCCAACAACGGCATATTTTATAAAAAAACTAAATATCTTTTATTTTTATGGCAAAATATCTTTTATAAAGTCAATTATAATTAAACAAAATAGGTTTGACATTAAGATGGTTAGATGGTCGGTTTTATTAATTCAATCAAAAGGTTATAAAAACTAAATTAACTAAATTTGCAAATTGATAACCCGAACCAATTAAAAAACCACAACAATTGATTAATAGAATTTAGTCAATAATTGGTTAATTGAATTTAGTAGGTTAATTTGCTCAATTAATTTGGTTACCGAATTATCGAAAGTAAATGTTGGTAGGTGTTACCTTTAGCTAATTTATTCTTTCTATTTTATATTTAAAAATAAAAAATAAAACTTTAATTTAGGTAATTCACATTATTTGATTATGGGACTTCATAAACCAACTTCCAAAATAACTATAAATCAAATAATTAACCAAACTGTTGTAATTAAGTTTAATTGTAGTTAATTTGAGTTTAGCCTATCCACGCCTTTTTTTCTTTTACTTTTTTTTAATCTATCCTTAACCAAAAGTAGATGTTCTTGAACACTTCAAAAAATAATAAATAAAAATTATTTTAAAAAATTTGCTAAAACACCTTAAAATACATTCTTTTTATAGATAAAATTGATAAATCAATTATCAATCATATATATTACAAGTAAATATTCTTGAAAAAAATTTTGAATTTATTATGTTGGGGGCATATAATAGTCAAAAGGATATAGTGATCTTTCCGACTCCTTCAATATTCAGTAGACAATTAGGAGAATCTTGGTCATTTATGCCGACTTGGCATGTTAGGTAAGTCTGATATCTCCAATGTCATTTTAGCTCAGCCCTATCCTAATTATCTCATTTTTGTCCCCATCAGTTCATCTATAAATATAGAGACTCAGGCACTATGAAGCGAGATTCATCTAACTCATACATTTCTCTCATTCCTACTTTTTAACCTCTTTTTCGGCCTGATCCTTATTAATTTAAGCATCAAAATGCAAACGCAAGAACACTCCCTGCCTTAGCCTCTAACTGTTCTTTTTTTTACCTTTATAGGAATACCTTCAAGTTAGAGCTTGGCACCAACATTTGGCGTGCTAGGTAAGGGCTCTAGCGTTTTCACATCAATTGAGTACAAAACAATGTCACCGAAAAAAAGAACCCAAAAGGAAGGAGAGACAGCTGCCCCTGCTAGAACAAAAACTCACCAAAGCTAGCATTTTGTTTGCCGCCTCAACTATAGGTGAGGCCAATCATGGAGCAATTTCAAACCCTGACCAAGCAAAAACAAGCTTTCAAACAGATGTTGCAAACTATAATCCCACTATAAGTCTCCAAAGTGCCAGACTTAGTCACACCAAACGAAAAAACTGTTATCAAGCAACTAAGCTACAAAGAGGTGGAAGCCACATTGGCCTTCAAAGAAGAAAAACACACCAATCCAACTCCTTACTGCCCCAGCCACAATTTTATAGATACCACAACCCAAAAATCTAAACAAACAGACCATGAACTTCAACCAAATAGAGATTTAGAAGCTCAGTTACAGGCCATGAGGAAGGAACTAAAAATGAAACCAGTAACATTTGAGGATGAGCTTAAGTTCCTAGAGACCTCACCCTTTATAAAAGAGATTGACAAAGCCATACCTCTCAAGAGATTTAAAATGCCAATCTTAGAGACATATGATGGTATTTTTGACCCTTTTGATTATTTGAAACTTTATAAAACTAACATAATGATACAAAGGGCAGACGAGGCTCTAATGTGCAAAGGTCTAGTCACTACTTTGAAAGGTGCAACTTGGTCTTGGTATAGCAGTTTGGAGCTAATGTTGATCACTACTTTCAATGAGCTCAGCCACTCATTATTGTCCTAATTCGTGAATAGCTAAAGAGCTAAGAAAAAAACTCTAAGCTTGATGTCAATTCATCAAGGGCAAAATGAAAATTTAAAAAACTATATCACACGTTTTAACGTGAAAGCTTTACAGGTTAAGGACCTAGAATAAATGACCTATTGACTAGTGAACTCAATGATAATGAGTACCACTTAAAGTTGATATTGTCACTAGAGCCACCAAAAACTCTAGTCAACGTCTTACTAATAGTAGAGAAATATATCAACGTTGGAGCTACAATGAAAATAAACTAAGATGAGAGAGGTTCATCCTCCCTCATCAGTCATAAAAAAGGTAAAAAATTTTTACGATTCTCTCCCAAAAAAGAGACAACACAAGGCTAGAAGTCTTTATAAAGAAAGAAGTTACATTGCACTGAATACCTCCCGATAGAGGATTTTGATACAAATTGAAAGAAATCCCATCCTCAGATGGCTTAAGCCACTAAGACATAATACAAAATGGATTTAACCAAAAGATACGCTTTCCACTTAAATGTCAGCCATAATACAAAATACTATGTTAACTTGAAAAATGAGATTAAAGTTCTGATTAAGCGAGGTCAGTTGAAAAGTTTTGTCAGACAAAAAAAAATAAGATCAATTTAGAAGAGACTATAAAAATGATCATATAATGCCCACTTGAGACAGAGAAAGAAGATCAGATTAAAAAAGAAGGGATGCCCAAGAAGAAGAGTTAAATAATAAAAAAAAAGTCAAGATGATAATAGTAGGCTAATTATCAGAATGATTAACATTATCATAGAAAGTAGCTCTACCTCGATAAAAAAAAAGTTTAACCCAGGCTTGTAATGGCAATAAGCACCTCGACTAAAAAATAAAAAGACTAAAGAGATGAGTCGATCTCATTCAACTCAAAAAATTTAAAGGGGATTCAACACCTACATGATGATGTCATAATGATCACAACCTTGGTATACAACTATGTGATCAAAAGAATCCTATTTGACAATGGAAGTTCGATCGATGTTATGTACTATGGCTATTTCAAGAAAATAAAAATCAGTAAATATCAGTTAAAATCGATCACTACAACACTAGTTGGATTTAAAAATGAATAGATGCCAATAAGATGAACCATCAAGCTCCGGATCTCCTTAGGAATAGAGCCAACAATGATTAACTCAGTTGTATTTATGATAGTAAATATCATATCTGTCTACAACATGATATTAGAACGACCTAGTAAGTCTGTTATATGGCTCATAGGTTCAGTTTCCTACTTAAAAGTGAAATTCTCGATGCCTGTAGGGGTTTAAAAAGTTTAAAAAATCCAGTCCACAACATGATAATGTTATATTACAATGATGAAGGTTAGGACTAAAAAGCAGATAGACAATTCCATGGATATCGAGGTGGAAAGTAAAAAGGAACCGACGAAAAAAACTAGTAAAAAGTAAGAGACTATTGATTTGAGCACAGAACGTAAGGTTGACCTAACAGAAACATGTTCTTAAGTCGCTCTGGGCTCTTAAGCTTTGCAAAAGTTCAATTTTGTTCTATTTTTAAAATTTTTTGAGATAATAATAAAAGTGATCAAGCTCTTAAGCTGGCACAAAAAATTAATATTACTTGGACCGAGCTAACACGTCGATTAAAATATAACATTAAATGAAGAATAACTTCATTTTTACTAATACATTCAATCATCACGTCGGGACCTATTTTCACAAAAAATGATCCTGACCTAATGGAATGAAAAGAGATAATTGATCAAAGATCAAACTCAGATGAAAACTAACTCGAGCCGGTTGAAGACCTCATGATAATTTTATTTTAAAATAATACTCTTAAAAAATACATGCAGATCGAATCCAAGCTCCAGCATAAGGATCAATTAATTCAACTTATAAAAGATAATATCGAGCTATTTGCCTAGACATTATTCGATATGCCCGAGATTGATACTGAGGTAATGGTCCATAGGCTACATAATAATCTCGAAGTCAAACTAGTTTGGCAAAAAAAAAACTTTTTACCCTTGAAAGACAATAAGCCATCGAGAAAAAGGTTGACAAATTATTACGAACTAGCTTTATCAAGGAGGTTTACTACCCTGAGTGGATAGCCAATGTGGTTATGGTAAAAAAAACACAGCAAAAAATGAAAAATGTGCATAGACTTTATTGACTTGAATAAGGCTTGTCTAAAGAATAGCTTCCTCTTTCTTAGTGTAAATCAGCTAGTGGATGATAGTGTCGAGCATTACCTATTTAGCTTCATGGATGTTTATTCTGACTACAATCAGATCAAAATATTGAAAGAAGATAAGGATAAAATAACTTTTATTATTGAAAAAGACCTATACTACTACAAGGTCATGCTTTTCGGATTGAAGAATGTAAGAGTAACTTACTAAAGATTGGTGAATAAGGTATTCAAAGACTAGATCAATCACAATATAGAGGTATATATAGACGACATG